TATCATCCACCCACAATATGGGTCCCCACAAACTGCCTTCAGCTTCAAAGCTTCATTCCTAATAAACACTACATCCCTATTATGCAAGATGGAGTATTCTCTGATAGCTGCCCTAAACACCTTACAATCAGCAAACAACATGCCAATCTCAAACTTTGGATCTTCCATGTCAGTTGCAGCATTGAACTCTGGCCAATTCTTATCAACTTCCTCATCAGAATTATACTTGGCATAATCCTTGCACTCAGAATCTTCAGAATCCAAGTCAACATCTGTAGGCTAATTAGGAGCAGCCTCATTCCCAGTTTCTTTAACCCCTGTCCATTCAGTTTGGTCATCCACCCATTCATTAAAAAAAACAATTATCTTCATCTTCATCTTCATCTTCACTAAAGTTCTTGGGAATCATATAATCTGAGTCCTCACTATCAGAAGCATCATCATCTTCATCTTCAAAGTCTATAGCATTTGCCACTCTTCTTCCACTTCTCAACATCATGGAATGCCTTTTGGACTGGATCCTGACGCCATCAACCCTTCCTTCCACAGCTTTGTCTTTATGGTGAACAGTCTTTGTCCTCAAACTGCCGCATCTTTTTTTACCAGAAGCACGCTTCACCCTATGTGACATGTCTTGATACTTGCCTTTGCCTTTATCAGAACAACCCTGATTTGGCTTTTCTTGGCCCTTGTCAGAATTCTCCTCATTATTCACAGTGGCAGTTTCTTTGCCTAGTTTAAAAGCTTCATCAGTCAACCCTACTTCATTCAACTCTTTGCCTTGTCCACCTGCTTGTTCAGTCAACCTCCCATTTAACTCTTTGCCTTGTCCACTTGCTTCTTCATTCAACTCTTCTATTACAACACTTGTTTTTTTTCACCTTTTGCACCACGGATACTCCCCAACCCATTGGAACAATAGCACCATAATTGTCATCAAGCTCTTCAATCACTACCCCAGTGTTGGTCCCAACATTATCATCCAAATTTATAAATATGTTTGAAGCCACTTGATTGTAAAACTGCTCTTGACTGCATGCCAAGACATGTTCTAGGAATATATTTATCAACCTAGTGTCTGGCACAAATACTAGCATGTCTAAGACATCTGCATCCTCACTTAGCTTAACTAGGCCACCATCAAAATTATCACCTAGAATACTGTACCAGTAGTTAATCAAACCTTCGTGCCCTAACTCCTTTACCATGGCCTCTATCTCAGTCATTAACATTCTATCTTTATCACAATAATCGAACCAATCAACAGACCCATTCACATAATAGTTACCTCTTATTTCACCATTGTGGTACATTTGAATAGAAAATCCCGCCTCATCCCCTGCAGGTCAAAAGCCACATATGAATTTTACCCAAAAAAAATACATGTGAGGTTGTTTACAAATACACACATACAAATACAAATAAAAATACAAATACAAATACATATACTAATACAATTACAATTACAAATACAAATATAAACAGGCACATACTCACACACATATACATATACAAACTTTCTATGTCAGTACACACATACAGAAAAGGTAAGATTCCAGTGGTTGTAGGACCACATACAAAAGCCAAAGTTTACTTCCGCATACCACCTACCATTCACACCATTCCATCTACCAATTAAATAGACACAGTGATATCGACACCTAACTCAAAACTCACAATCCATTATAAAAGCCAAACTTTCACTACACACCAAACTCGAAACTGAGACTCTCTATTTGATAGTTTCACTATGAAACATCATCTGCCAAGAAACTTAGAACAGTAAGTCATACGTACCGTAGAAAGGTTCTCAATATCCTTTCGGACGAACTTCCCAACTCATATTTTTCAGATCTTTCGGCTTCACTCCGTTTCTGTTTGTTTGCAGTCTATTTCAAAAATTTGCTCTCCAAAACACGAACAAACCCTCTTCTCTCCTCTATGTCTCTCTCAGTACATGAACAAAACTCAGTTTCTGAGTTTCTTTAATTTTCCCAAGCTTGGGTAATAGAGGATGTTTGTACAATATCTGGCCAAGCACTCCCCAAACACTCCCAAGCCAAAGGGAAGGGAGTCCCACATCGACAAAACACAAGAGGAGGGGACTCTCCATTCTTTATAAAAGGAGACCTCTCCCCTTCAAGAAGGGAGAGAGTTGGGCAGGCTACTTGGGCCTCATGGGCTTACCCATGAGCCCATTTACAAGCCCACGGATCATTGGCCTTCAGCCAAATCCCCAGCCTTCGGCGCCCTCAGCCTTCGGCGCCATCAGCCTTCGGCCACCAGCCTTCGGCCTTCGGCTATCAGCCTTCGGTATTCTTCCTCTCCTTGGGTCAAACCCTATGTGCATTGTATACAACATTATCGTAATGAGAACATACTTCTTCGTGGATGTAGCCCATTATTCGGGTGAACCACGTACATTTGTCTTCTGTATGCATGTCCATTTATCTACCGAATGCTCTTACATACTGAGGGTCCTGACCTTCAACATCCACCTCATCTTTAAGTTGGCCTACTTACTACCCGTCTAGTTTTAGCACAAACAGAGTTATTGCCTTGGAACGCGTGCGTTGGAGAGAGAAGGCGAACGTTGGGTTTTTTTGTTGTTGCCGAAATTGCCCTTCGTCTCGTCACTTTCTAACTGCTGTTTGGTTATGAGGTGGGTCCCACGCCTGCCACGTCAGCATTTAACGTCTGACTTTGACGGTCAATGTAACAGTGGGTGTAAATTGGTCATACTTCGAAATGTTGGGTAAGAAATTGACTTAAATGAAACCTTGGGGCCCATTTCGAGACTGACACTAAACCTCCAGGGACTAAAGTGTAGTTAATCCTTTGTTTTTTCATCTACTGGTTTTGATCTTCTTCTCTAATTCCAAAAAGTTGTGCGCCAAGGAGGATTCTTTGGGGATAGGGATTGGATGGGGATTGTGGTTTGGTTGTTTTTTTTTTTTTTTGACTTTTTAATTTCATTTAGTTTTTTCTTTTCATTTTATTTATTAATGGTTTAAATAGTGGAAGTACAATTTTGTCCCTACGTGCACTTTGTATGTACAATTAAACAGACGGAATTGAGAGATATGAGTTGATTTGCTAATGACGAGTAATGTGATGACCAAAATCGGAAAATTGAAAGTGTGGTGATGAAAATTAAATTCGACCCTAACCTCAATGACCAAAATTGTAATTACCTCTTTATTTTATTGCTTGAAATGATGCACTGTGTGGGAGCAAATATTTTCGTCTCGAATCACAGCACGCCACGTGGAAAAGAAGATTATCTCTTAAATTAATTAATTAAACTAATTTATTTGGTCAATTAATTAATAAGGGTAATATCTTAATTATAAGATATTATCTTTATTTAATAAGATAATATCATTAATTTGGATATTATCCTAATATGGGGATAATATCTTAATTATAAGATATTATCTTATAATTAATGAGATAATATCATTAATTCATATATAATCAAGTCCGACTCAATCTCTACGAATTTGGGTAAAGAATAAACTCCATTTAATCAGAGTTTATTCTCTACGAAACTCTACGAAACCCTAGCCTTGATGATTCTATAAATAGATGACTTCATTTATCATTCAAGATACATCTGAATCTACTCCTAATACCCGAGAAAAATACCTGAAGCTCTCTCTCCCTCTCAACTCTCCATATTTTCTCCACACGGCTCCGGCCACCACACATGGCTCCGGCCTCCCGGTTCACACCATACATTCAACTCCGTACCCTTTGCTTAGCTATTGTTTTCCTACAAACACTCGAACTAACTTAGGCATCAGAGGGCCTTTGTCCAACACCCCCCGAGTGTAGTCTATTTACTCCAGTATTTTTTACAGGAATCGAGGAAGAGAGAGAAGGAAGATCGAAGGTTGAAGGATCTAAGAGCGAATATTCTCCCGTGAGATTATTTGCACAAACATTTGGTGCTTTCATTGAGAGCGCGAGTTATACTCAATGCGTGCTCAAGGAATCCGTTCCTCCTATTTTCCAATCCACCGAAGCCTTCCAAACAACCATGGTTGGAAGCAAGCGCACGAGTACGACCTCGTACTTGTCTTGCTATACTACTAATTGCCCCGTACAATTGCGAGTTAACATAATATTAACAACATGGCACCTCCACCACTCGCCGTCGTGAACCCGCAACAAACCCTTGCTGCCGCACCACAACAGCCACCCCGTGTGGCTGGAACCACCGTGCCACTTGTTGGACCCGCAGCTGGGACCATCGCACCAGCCTCTGCCATCTCAAGGCCCCGTGGCTGAATCTAGCCACCTTCATAGCGCCGCCGCCGAACATGGTGGAACCTCCCATCAAGGTGGGCTCACGACCACCGCCGACTTAGGCCCGATCTTGGAGCAACTTCAAACATTCCCTCCATTGCCTCCCCACTCAACGTACGCTCTCACGTACACCTCCAATGAAACCCTAGCCCGTGTGCAATTGGGCTCCACACAATTCTCTCCTCCCGATCCACGAAGTCAAGTAGACCTCAATCTGAGAGTTGACCAGCTAACTCAGAGAATGGACGACCAAAACAATTTGATGAGGCAGCTCCTCAACCAAATAAACTTGGCTCAAAATCTTGGCCTTGGACAACAGGGCGAAGAGAGAAGGATGGACGAACGTGTCAATAGGCAGTTCGATGTGTATCAAGTAGGTCGAGTAGGCCAAATGGGCAGACGAAGTCTCTCACCCAGATTGAGTTCAAGGACCAATGTTCACGAAAGACTAGGCCCCCTAGGGAGGTCAACCTAACGACCCCCACAATGAGGATCGTGAAGAAAGGGCCTCCGCTGCCTGCTCCCGAAGAACTAATTCCTGTCGACAAGCTACAGGAAATTCCTCACAAGCACAGTCCACCAACACGCCGCCTAGGTAGCACAACCGAGAAGGTCGACCCTTGCGAACCAACAAGGAAGTCAATCAGCGTCGCCCAAATCGCGAAGGTCACCAACGTAACCGACCGGTTATGTGTGCGGAATATGTTGAGAAGCTTGTAAATAACCGACTTCGAGATTTAAGGATTGGCGGAAATTTCGAAGATGCATTACGCATGGAGGTAGACCGAGCAAACTCCTCACCTTTTACCGTCGAAATCAAGCAGGTTGCTCCCCCGAAACGATTCTCAACGCCCTCTTTCACATGCCTCAAAGGGGATTCTGATCCTGAAAGTCATCTGAAGCATTTCAAAAGTGTTATGATCCTCCACAAGGTTGAAGATGCATTAATGTGCAAAGTGTTTGCAATGACTTTTCTAGGAGCAGCTCAGGACTGGTTCAACACCCTGCCATCCGGGTCGCTCAGCAGCTTCAAGAAGCTTGCTTATGTCTTCACCAAGGAATACACTTCTTACCGAAGATTAAGAAGAACCCTGACCATCTGTTCAACTTGCACAAGAAGTCTGACGAATCCCTCCGGGACTACATCAAGAGGTTCAAGGCGAAGATGGCAAAAATCGTAGGATGTGATGACCAAGTTGTGTCCTCTGCCTTCAAGAGGGGCTTGCCAACTGAGTGTGAGCTGTATCATGAGCTAACCATCTCTTCCTGCCGAACATTGGTAGAAGTTTTCGCGACAGCAGAGCGCTACGCACTTTGGACGACGACCGGATTGCCACAAAGAAGGCTGCCGAGCAAGCCGATCAAACGGCTGAGCAGGCAAGCCAAAGGAACGGCAACAACAAGGATGAAGGCAAGCGCAGATCACAGCCTGAAGAAGGTGCTCCAGCAACTGAGAGCTACACCAAGTTCACTATCCTGATTCACCAAATCCTAGCCCAAGTAAAGGACATGCCTTGGTTGAAGAAACCATCGCCTTTGAAGGGAAACCTAGCCAAGAAAGATACCAGTAGATACTGCGCATTCCATGAAGGGTACGGTCATTACACAAACGACTGCTTCGCCTGGAAAAGGCACCTCGAGGAGCTAGTCAGAGATGGTCATTGCACGGAATTCATTGCAAGGGGGTCTATCCAACAAATCAAGGATCGAGATGCAGCTGCCAATGAGCCTCCACGAAAAAAGTCATACGGATCAACACGATTCTAGCCGACTCCAAGAGTCCAGGCTGACCACCAGGGAACAGAAGAGAAAGATCAAGCAAGCAACTTTTGTCTCCCAAGCCGTCAACAGCTACCCAGTCATGGAAGATGATCCTAGCATCATCTTTTAAGGGAAGGAAGTTCCAAGACAATGGAATGCCCATCACCTCCGGGGGTATTATCCACGAAGCTACTCACCTATTAGCTTGCCTCCAAGCAGGCGGCCTAGCCTCCCTCACCTTCATTGAAGCCAAGTTACTTTTGATGTTACTCGTGCAACTCATCTCTTTTGATTCAATAAAGCAATGTAGTCACATAGACATCAATACAAGTTCAAGCTTTTCTTTCTAATGAAGTGTACACAAAAGCAATCGACATGTCTCCGGACGTAGGTCAAACGGGCCACTTTCATCGACACGTCTCCGGACATAGGCCAAACGGGCCACTCTCATCGACACGTCTCCGGACATAGGCCAAACGACCCACACTCATCGACACGTCTACGGACGTAGGGCAAACGGGCCACGCTCATCGACACATCTCTGGACGTAGGCCAAACGGGCCACTCTCATCTACACGTCTTCAGATGCATGCCAAACGGGCCACATATCGACACCTCTCCGGATGCAGGCCAAACGGGCCACACATCGATTGGCCCACACTCATCGACACGTCTCCGGACGCAGGCCAAACGACCCACACTCATCGACACGTCTCCGGATGTAGGCCAAACGCCAAACAGGCCACGCTCATCGACACGTCTCCGGACGCAGGCCAAACGACCCACACTCATCGACACGTCTCCGGATGTAGGCCAAACGCCAAACAGGCCACGCTCATCGACACGTCTCCGGACGTAGGCCTAACGGCCACACTCCTCGACACTTCCCTAGACGTAGGCCAAACATGCCACAACCCAAAGACACTTAAGCAGTTCACAAGACAATATGCAAATTGAAGTTGAAAAAACAATAACTGAAATTTCCATAGAAAAGTGACCAATTTGCCAAGTTCAAACAAAAAGAAGATGGTCAAACAAGACCAATTGTTCTAAACAAAAAGTAGACTACAAAAGTTGAAAAGAAATAAAGGAGTCTTCATATACTCTGAAATGCTAGCAGGGGATCCCTAATCTGCAGCCTCTTTAGCATCCACCTGATCAGCCACGCTCTCAGCAGCTCCACATGCCTGATCCATGATGTCTGCCATCACCTCATCAGCTGCATCCTCTTCTGCTCCATCCTCTTCAGCTACCGCCTCTTCAGCCATCTGCTCTTCAACTCCTTCCATGTTCACAGCATTAACCTGCTCACTTTGCACAGCGAGCAAGTAAGGACAGAGCATCTCGATGTCTCCATCTCCAATGGCATAGAAGGGATCATCTCCATTTGTGCAGTCTAAGTAGCTCAGCTTGTATGCATCCAAGGTAGCTTTGAACTTGGATTCTTCAACAAACTTGTGATAGGCACGAAATCTAGCCAAGAGCTTGTCATAACTAAGAGAGATGTTAGCATTCTTGTACTCAATACGGAAGCAAGCATATTTTCAACTAGCCAAGTCAGCAGTAGAAGAGCTAAGTTCATAATCCTTCTGAGCAAGGGAACTCTTCAGCTCAAATATCATCGTCCTAAAATCAGATGTCTTAATATCATCGTCCTCAAATCAGATGTCTTCTTCTCATAACGGGTCTGCTTGGTAGAAAGCTTGCTAATCAGTTCGGCATCCTTCTTCTCCAAATTGTTAAACTGAGTAGAAGAAGGGGTAACAGCAAACGAGTTCCGGACAATCTCAGCAGCAAAAACCTACTCCCTTTTGAAGCAGATGAAATGTCTCTTCTCTTTGTTTTTCCATCTTGGGATCAGCAGTTGACGTTGCAGAAGAACCTTTAGCCCGGATAGATGAATCTCTCGTCTTCTTAGCCGTCGCCATCCTTGCCTCTAAAGGAATCAACAATGCTGAATCAACTCCGCGCTTGACTACTCGGGACCTAACAGCTAGATCATGATGGTTGGACAGATGAGCAGACCTCCCAGTTCAATCTCCATTCTTGGACTGTTGTAGACTACCCGAACTTCGGAGAGGAATATTAGCATCTCTTTGCCTCCCAGTAGGTGAACTAGTTCTCACATGGACTACTTCACGGAGCAGAACACGGTCCTCAAGCTTGTCAGCATGAGGCTTGAGTGGAACATCCCGAACATTGCGCATACTGTCAATCACCTGCATCAACGAAATGCTTAACCCTAGTTGATAATGAAGGAACAACTCATACTTGAGTCTTCTCAGTAAAAGGGATCATTGGCTTCTTCCTCAAACGGAGACACATCCTTCACCCGCGAAGTCGCAGCTTCATTCCTTGAAGACTTAACATCAGCATTCCTTTTTTAAAGGGGTTCGGCAGAACACTCTTCCTGCCCAGCCGGCAAATCATCAGAGTCTAGACCATTCTGCCTCCATCTCTCAAATCTTGGGCAGGGGGCAGGCCACCAACTTCCTCCTGATACTCGCTTAGCAGACACCAGCGACCATCGCCTCTCCAACCGTCTTCGACCGCCAGTCACGACAACGACTAGCCTAGTCCTACCCAGCTGGTCCTCGCAGCGAAGAAGAGAAGACGAAGAAAAATATATATGTGCTCGACTTACCTTGGGATGCACGACAACTCCTCTCTTCAACAAGCAGTACAAATTCTCCAAGATCTTTCTCAAGCTAGAAAATAGAGAAGTTAAATTTGCGATGTGAGAAAGAGTGAAGAGAAGCCCTGTATTTATACAAGTTGGACAACCCGGGTCAAGAAGGAATTGCAAGCTCATTCCGACTGGGAATCCAACTCCAAGAACAGTCAGGAGCCTACTCCAATTGGGAATCTGATTTGTAAAAGGAGTCCAACTCACAGAAGAAAGCTCAGACACAGTTGGAGAGCCCGAAAAATAATTTCATCTCCTACATGCCACACAAGCGCCATGCAGAAGCTGGGGGCATTTGTGGGAGCAAATATTTTCGTCTCCAATCACAGCACACCACATGGAAAAGAATATTATCCCTTAAATTAATTAATTAAACCAATTTATTTGGTTAATTAATTAATAGGGATAATATCTTAATTATAAGATATTATCTTTATTTAATAAGATAATATCATTAATTTGGATATTATCCTAATAAGGGGATAATATCTTAATTATAAGATATTATCTTATAATTAATGAGATAATATCATTAATTCAGATAGAATCAAGTCCGACTCAATCTATACGAATTTGGGTAAAGAATAAACTCCATTTAATCAGAGTTTATTCTCTACGAAACTCTATGAAACCCTAGCCCCGAGGCTCCTATAAATAGATGACTTCATTCATCATTCAAGGTACATCTAAACCTACTCCTAACACCCGAGAAAAATACCCAAAGCTCTCTCTCCCTCTCCACTGTCCATATTTTCTCCACACGGCTTCGGCCACCACACACGGCTCCAGCCGCCCGGTTCACACTATACATTCAACTCCATACCCTTTACTTAGCTATTATTTTCCTACAAACACTCGAACTAACTTAGGCATCGGAGGGCCTTTGGCCAACACCCCCCGGGTGTGGTCTATTTACTCCAGTCTTTTTTACAGGAATCGAGGAAGAGAGAGAAGGAAAATCGAAGGTTGAAAGATCTAAGAGGGAATATTCTCCCGTTAGATTATTTGCACAAACACACTGTTGAAGCTCTTGTGAATTTTTTTTATGTGGAGCATTTTTGCTCACCACTTTAATTCAAGGTGTATGTTCACCACCTTTCTTAACACTTTATACGTGTCTATAAGCATGACCATAGTTACATAAATCAAAGTAAAAAATTAATCATGGTTATGCCTATAGACACATGCCAAATATTTAAAAACATAATGAGCATACACTCAAAGTTAAAGTGATGAGTAAAAATATATCTTTTTTTATGACCCTTTTACGAAACATAAGTTGCTAAGTGTCACATGGCTTATTGTACCAATATTTATTCTATTATCTAGTCGTGACCATTTACGAAGCAAGTTTGGTGGTAGACAAATGACTGCCACTCGGATTGACACATTGTAGATAAATGGTGGCTACTGGTTGTTATGCTACCATGCGACATTCCATTTAACAAATAAGATGTATTTTCTTGGTGAGGCTCTTATGAATACCTTGTGATGCTTTGGTGATGCTCTATTTCTGAGTTACGAGAAGCTTTTGACAACCAAAAAACAAAATAAAAGTAAAACAAGCTTTTTCATGAACCTCTCTATATATCCCTACATTTAAGGTTAAAAAAAAGGTGTCTTTATTTTGGTATTTTATTCTCTAGTACACCTTTTAGAGAACTTCCACCCATTTGTCATGGCAAGGGGTAAGGGTAAGGCAAGGTTGTGGTGTTTCCATCCATTGCCATGGCAGTCTAAGGGCAACCACTATTCACATGAGATATGATGAGAGGAATTTGTATAGAGTTTTGGTGTGGGAAGTGAAGAATATGACTAAGTATTTATTTTTAAAAAATTCTGAAATTTGTAGTATTTTTTTTATTTAGATTAAATTTTTTTTTTCCGTTGTTGATGTCATCGCTGACATCAGAAAACCCAGACAACAGCCCAGGCTGTTCTTACCTTTGGGCTGGCCTGGTTTGGTGGGACCCATGATCTACCAGGACTATAGAAGCCCCCTGGAACTACAAATTGGGGCTAGGCCCCTTGTTGCCCGAGCTGGGGGGCACCGATGGAGATGCTCTTAATAGATGAATGTTATTTGGTCGCTTAGGTTCCCGCATGATGGAGGAATTCAAGAAATTCAAGAATCCGCCTTAAGTTATGCAATCTGTTGCCAACACAAAAATCCTTTTCCTTGTGCTATACAAATATAAGGTAATTATGAGTTCTCTATTACGAAGTTCTCCGTGTTTTAGAGTTCGATACAACAAGTTTTTTTCATCTCAGTCACATCCATACATTTAATTCCGTATCAATTTCATACATTCATTAGTTT